AGTTTAGGTTTTAGGTCAGCCCTGAGGCCAAGAGCCTTGAGATTTTTTAGTAGACAGCCCAGGGGGGAGTCAGCCAGAATGGACTGTTCCGATCCTATGGTGGAGAAAGGAGACTTCTGTCACTGCTCACTGAGGTGTCCTGGAGTGAGGGACAGAGAGTTGTGAGAGTAAAAGCACTGTTCGGAAGAGTTGTCACCACTTGGGAGGGGAATGCTGGGGCCGAAGGGCCATAGGAGACTTGGGGCCTGAGCTCAGGAATTTTGAATGAGAGGCCAGGAGAGACCGAGAACACACCAAATCTCATAGAAGGAGGGGAAGTCTCTGCCACGGGGATCACAACCCAGATCGACAAACCCACGAATAAAGGCTGGTTACTCACCTATTGATGAGACCAGTGGTGGGTGCATAGAGGCATCTAGGCGAATGGACATGAGTTGTCGGGGGGAGGATCAGGACACCAAGGCTTAGGGTCTCTAGACTGTTGGTATTAAAGCCGGGATCCGGATAGCACCCAATCGAGTCATGACACCAATGAAAGAAACAGGCACCTGCCAAAGATCATTCTGCACACCAACAGAGCTTGTATGAGAGGTTTTATTGTAGAGCTGCTGCTGCACAGTGGCCCGCTCTGCAGAAAGGGAACAAAGGAGATGAGAGGGAGCTGGGGAAGGGGCTTGGTTATATAGTGGGTGACTGGTGCAGGTGGGTTGGGGATTGTGTCGGCTGCATGGGCAGCCACTCAGGGGTCATTGTTGGAATCCATTCCTTATACAGACAAGCCTTTTTTTGTGCATCGGTTTTATTTATGATAGGTGACGCATGATGTAGGAAATGGAAACTTAAAGGGGAAGAAAGAAGTTATTTGTCAGAATGGCGGCAGCCATTCCAAGGCAGTTATCTTACAGTGTTAAAATTGAGAGTATCATTTTCCAGTCATTGAGATTCATTTTCTAATTTGTACTGAGGCCTGATTTGGTAGCAATAAAAAAATGAGTTCTTTTGGCGTAAAGTCAGATCCCAACAGTCCAAGGGGACAAAATTGTGCCAGAAGGCAGCCAAGAGGCATTGAGGAGGGGGTTTGGATTGTTGGGTGTCCATGTTAGGGTGGGTGAGAAGTTAGCTCCCTAGGAGGAGGGCAAAAGAGAGGAATGTCTTCATCTCTTTTGATATTCCCTAGCCAGTCCTCAGAAGGGGAGAACGAGAGGAGTTGGGCAGTGGGGCATCTCCCAGGGGCATGGTCCTGGGCCTAGTGGCCTGAGAGGGTCTTTGTGACCAAGTGCTTGGATTTCTGAGACGTCCCCAGAGGGAGAGAATGAGAACGAGACAGAGGACCTGAGTAGAAGAAAGCTAATTACTTACTCACCCTGAAATCAGTGACCAGTGTGGATATGTGCATAGGAATGGCAAAGATAGAAAGCCGCAAAGAAGTCCTGGCTTGGCAGATGTGGTCTGGAGGAGGTGGCCGAAAGGCCAATTGACCTGGACCCACTGGGGATCATCACTTAATTAACTGCTCTTCTCCTGGGATTTGGCACCAGATATATTAGGTAAAAAAGCCAAAAAACTAGGATGAGACCAGGACTACAGCAAGCCTTTATTATGGGGAGGATCTACTGGGCTGTCTCCTAACAAGGGAAAAGCCGCATGGAGGAATAGGGAGGTTCTTTTATAGGAGACTAACCAGAGCTGGGGTGGAGTTGAATGAAGTAGCTTAAGGGATTGGAGAAGCCTGTAACATCATTAGGAGGGGCTTGTGACATCACTGGTTATTCGGAGGTAGCAAGTATCAGGTTACTTTTTTGGCAGGAAGAAAGGCATGATGAGAGGAAGGCTGTCCCTTGGTAAGAGAAGCCATATTTAACATGTGGCAGCCATCTTAAGGCACAGAGCATTATGGGAAGGAGGCTACTGTTTTATGTAGCAGCCGTCTTTGAGGTAGGGCATCATGTGAGGTCTTTATATATATGTTTGTACAAAGCTCTGTAAGGAGCTGGAGGTAGATTTAACTTAGAGAGTAGGGTGTTTTTCCCCCAACATGGTTTTATTCTATGCTTTCTGCCCACTAATTGTCCCTTGTGGTTCTGAATTTGTGTGTGTGTGTGTGTGTTCGCGCGCGCGCGCGCGCGTGCACGTGTGTTTAGAAGTCCCCACTGTTCTTCCATCCTTGGGCCTGGAACTATGAATGTTATGGAAGGAATTGGCAAGTGACACACAGAGAGGCCGCAGAATGGAAGTAAAATAAAAAAGTTATACTTGTCGACAAAGATTGATCCCACATAAAGTTGTGCCTGGATCGATCCAGTACTGGGCTACAACTCCTTCATTTTATAGGTTTTATAGCCTTGATCTCATTCAGGTGGTTGTATTTCATTTTCACAGTTCACATTGTTGATATTCAAAACATGGTTGGGAAACAGTTGAATTTCAACCCAGATGTATCACTTCTTTATTAGGGGAGGTTACCTTTAAAATTCATTTAGTTATCTATTCTAGCCCAGGTTAAGGGGCTTGGCTGGTGAGCAAAGTTAACAATGGTTCTTTTCATTTACAAAACTTTTTAGCTAGACTAGATGCCTCTGGTGTCTCTTGATTCTGAACTAAAAAGCAAATGGCAGAAGTTATTTTACATTGTGACATTTTGTAGGGCTTTTTTGCTATTAAAGTGTTCTCTATCATGAGTAGACTGTATCCATCCATGTGTAGCGAAAGAATGTCCTTGCAGGGAAACCCTCAGCAGGTGTGGAGCAGTCCAAGGCTGATCCTGTCCCTCCCTTACTTGAAACCCCTTGTTATTTTTCTGCTACTCTCAGGATACAGACCAGAATCCTGCACTGTCTGGCCCCTGCCTCCCTCAAATCCTTTCTTATTTCACTTTTCCTCTCAGTCTGGGCTTCCAGCTGTACCAGCTCCCCTCTTCCTCTAGCACGCCCTAGACCACAGGACCTTTCCACTTGCTGCTTTTGTGCCTTGCTCCTTTTCTCCTGTTTTTATCTCTTGGGACCTCTCCCAATCCCAGCTCAAGAAAGCCTTCTGTAGCCTTCCCGATTAGATCACATCCCTTTTATTTCTTTTAGATTTTTAAGCAGTCTGGTTTTTTGCATGTTTGTCATGGATCCACCTCCCCGCCACAACAGGGTGGGATGCAACTCAGGACCTTTCACTTACCAGGCAGGCGCAGTGCTACTGAGCTACTTCCCCAGCTCTGAATGTAATCTTTTATTTAAGTGGTTGTTAGCTGTGCTTACCACTTTTTAAAACCTCAAGTAGTTGAGCAGATAATCTTTATAGACTTTTCTTCATATGGCATTATCACCCTTGGAACAAAATCCTGCTCTTTTTTCTGCTTCTGTTTGATGATCCTTTATAGACCCTCTTTCTCTGGCCTTTCTCCATGACTCTTCATCTAAGCTTTGAAAGTGGAAGCTAGTTCATAGATATTAAATCTGAAATATAGTTAGACATGAATGAGGTCAGATCTCTTATTCTTGTCAAAGGACAAAGTTAGGACAGTTTAGTTTAAAGATCTTAATTGGCTTGATTTTTGTATCCTAGAACTGGGCAACACTTTGTTTCATAAAACAGAATTCATCTTCTGATGAGCTAAGCAGATGAGGATGGTTTTAAGACAGAAAAAGGCTGATAAAAGCGGAAACAGAGAACAAAAAGTGGACCGGTCATTTTAAAGTTACTTTCCTTGTAAGGAAGGGACAGGGAGGCAGAAGGATAGAAAGATAACTGGTCAACATGAGGTTACTTCAAGTTAACTTTTGGTATAAGAATTAAGTCAGAGGGAAGTATAGTGTCATTCCAGTTGAAATGAGCCTGTTTGGGAAATTCGGCTGTTGTTTCGTTTCCCCTGGTTAGATAAAAAGCTTAATGACAAGGAACATTAGCGTGGGTGACTCCATGTTGACTTTTAGTCTGGTCTCTTGATGCCCAGCATGGGAGCCTAATCCAAAACAGTGGCCTCCTCTCATTTTTATTTAATACACTCATGTATCTTACAAAGTACAAAAAGAACAGTTCTCAATCTAATTAATTAATCTTTGCTATTCAATGAAAGACAATAGATGTAAAGCTTGTGAATATAAAATCTCAAGTCTTCTGTGTTTTTTGTGCTATTTGATGTCAGTGAGTGGTTGTTTACCTCATGTAGTCACACTTTGTATTATTTGTATTATTGTTTGTATTATTAACAAACTAGGTGAGCTTGTTAATCCCCCCACCTTTAGAAACAATATTGCCCAAGGTAGGAGAAACAGAAACCCTAGCAAATTTGTAAGTGACAGAAATAGAACGACTCAGGGACGGTCTGTGCTTCTTGCCAATAAATTGGTCCTAGTGGATAAAATTGTTACATTCCACTTATACACTAGAATAGTAATAGGCTATAAAAAGAAACAAACTCTTGATGTCTACAACATAAACATGAGACAAAAAAAGAGTACATACTGTGAGGTTCCACTTAGAAAAAAATATTATAGGAGATGAAATCAATCTGTAATGACAGAAATCAGACTGAGGGGTTGCCTGAGGATAGAATGAGAGCAGGGATGGATTACCAAAGGGCAGGACATGTGAACACAACTTGGGCATCTTTTACCTGGTGTAGGAAGGTGTTCTTGAAGTGATGCCTGACTCGAGGTTATAGAAGCCCAGTCTTCAGAGTACGTCTTCTTCAGCCTTATCAAATCTACAATTAAACCTAGTTAAGACAGTATCAGCAGAAGCTCTTTCTAGCCACTTTGAATTGATGCTGTACCATTGTGAGCCACAAGTACTAAAGATGCTTGGTTCTAAATATAACAGGATTTCCAAATTTTAGCTGCAGGAGGCTCTTACCTGAGAATATTTATTACCATCTTTTCTCATCTCACATGGTCATGAACACTCAGTTTTGAGAAGATGACGTACTGTCCTGTTGATGTGCCAAGTTTGTCCCAGGGAGGAACAGACCCAACATTCTGGCCTTACCTCAATAATGTGTGTCTTTCCGCTAGGGAGAAGATGAATCAGTCACCCTCAAATCCTGCACACGGCGGAAGACAGATTCTATTGAGAAGAGGTTTTGCTTTGATGTAGAAGCAGTGGACAGGTGAGTAGTTGTTACATTTTCTTTAGAAACAAATATGACTGAATTTGGATTTCTTTCCTTTTCGTTAAAGCTTTTCTACATTTTTCTTCTCCCTCCTGTCTCTATCCCCCACTGTATCAATTTTGGATTAGATCTTAGGCCTTAGCTGATTTGCAATGATCAATACAGCCTCCCCATCTTTCAAATTCAGCACTGAATCACAGGGTTTGTTTTGCTTGCCTTCCTTCCTTCCTTCCTTCCTTTCTCTCTCTATCTTTTTCTCTCTCTCCCCCTCTCTCTTTCCCTCTCCCTCTCCCTCCCTCTCTCCCTCTCCCCCCACCCCTCGGATCAAAGTTGGGTCCTTGCACTTGTGAGGCAGGCAGCAGAATCACTGTGCTAAATCCCCAGCCCTGCTTTACCATTGCATCTGTTCTTTGAGCTTTTTCTCCTTAAAGAAATTAATACAAACATTCAAAAGAGAATGGGTGGTAGATGTTTTAGTCAAATTAAAGAAAAAGCTTTTAATTACAGTATTTCACCTACCACTGTATGTGTATGCACACACAGAAAAGACACGAAACCACTTGTGAAATCAGTGTTTGGAAAGAGAGCTGTGGGTTGTATTCTACAGGATTTATAGCGTCTCTCATTAAGTTGTAGCATTGCATGGTGTTAAGCTGGTTTGACAAGATTCCACCAATTCTTTGAGGCACTTTACTTGGCAACAGTTTAATTCTTTCAATGAAACTCACGTGTTAAGCTTGTTTGAGCTGCCTGCTCAAGATCAGCAGTGTTAGTGTTAGGATCCTTAAATCTCCGCAAGAGACTCACCTAATTCCATTTAATCTCTTTCCTTTATTTAAGAAAACCCACGCCAGTTTGTCAAGCCAGCACTGATACTCTGCCTGAGAAATGCACTTGTAGCCATCATCGCTGAGCTCTAAAGGGTCATCCGGAGATTGAGCGTCCCCGGGGATGGGCAGTGCTCCTCCTGATGCTGGCAGGGCTGGTGTGCCTTCTCCTGGCAGCTGTCCTCCCTGCACCATGCCTGCTGGAAGATGCATGCCCTTTTAGCCTAAATCAGAAGTTTAAGATGGCTTTTAATCGGAAACACGTTCTTTTAATCGGGAGACATTGGTCTCCTAAGCAACTTAATCACTTACCGTTGGTTCTCAAGCCTGACAATTTGGGTCCAAATTTTCACGTTGCTGCTTAGTGGCCACGTGACTTTGAGCAAGTTACTTAATCTCCTCTGGCCTTGATTTTCTTATCTGGGAAATGAAGATTGCTACAGTACCTAGTTCATGGGATTGTTGTAAGAATTCAAGGAGGTAATGCATGTAAAATGCTGGGCAGCATGGCCGGTAATAAATGCTCAACAAATACAGCTGTTGATATATGTTGTCATTTAGCTTCTGTTCCGTGGTCATCAGGCTCATATTTCCTTTCTTTTCTCAACATGGAGGAATGTAGTTTATAAATAAGAGGCAAAGTGCCCCTGCCCCTTGCTGTGTGGCGGGACTGTGAGCGGGAAGGGAGAGGAGTAGGGTTCTTTGGAGGATGGGTGGAGTTGAGATAGATAATAAGGGGGACTTGCAAAGAGCCTTCCTTCAATCAAATTGGTTCTTGTTTTAAACAATCTGAAATCTGGATGTTTGAAGTGTGTGTATGCATTTTTACAATCTTAATCATGGAATTAAGGGAATCCACGTTATTGGGATCTTTGAAGAGGTTCAGAAGATGTGTTTGTGTGGAGGGGGAGCTGGTTTTGATGACCATGAGATGTGTAGCTCCTAACGACAATCGTGTGTGTGTGTGTGTGTGTGTGTGTGTGTGTGTGTGTGTGTGTGGCAGGCAGTGTGGAAGAGGGCGTACCTTTTCCTGCAGTTCTCCATCAGGTTGCCAATAAGCTTAGAGATGCTTTTAGGAGATGTTATTTTCCATGTTTTCTTCTTCAGAAGTTCCTGAGAAGTTGTGGAGAATTGCTTAGTAGGCAGTTAAAACTCCCTCTTGCATCTTAATCTCATTTCTGCCTTTTGCCAATACGGTATTTCCTAGCACCTTCCCTCCTTTTTCATGTCCCAAAGCCTTGGCAGGCCCCAGTTTCAAAACACAAGAAATATGTCGCACTTGAGACACTGAGTGGGCTTGAGAAATTGATTTCTCTCCAGTGTCTGTCTCTGGTCTTTCTGGCTTTTGGCAGAGTTCAGAACCAGGCTGCTGAGCCTCCCCTGAAGCAGGAGGTAAATCAGCCATTCTGTGAAATGACTTATCTCAGTTTTATATACTGTTTGGCAGGATTTTTCCTCTTTTTCCTTTTTTTTTTTTGCAATGTCCTTCTGTGTTTTTCTCACATACTTAGAAGGGGACCAGAACAAGAAGGCCAAGGCGTTTTCTTGTGGTAGGCAACAGCCTGGGGTTCTTTCTCCTCTTAACTCCTGACTTTTCCTTTATCACAGGCACCCTATAGCAAGGAGACCATTGCTACTGACCCTGCTGTCTTTGGCCATAGTATCCTCAGCTCCACCTGCTGCCCACAGAAGCGGGGGTCAAGGTGCAACTTAGCACCTGGGAAGTGTGAATATGAAAGAGAAATGATTATGGTTAACAGTGCGCGTTCAAAACGCCTCCAGAGCATGTTGATGGAAGAGAGAAACATTTATGTAGTGGCTCTTAATATGGTGTTCTGTCAAGATACACTTACGCATCAAAGTGTGATTTATGTGACTTAGAAAATGAGATGTTGTGGGGTTTTAGTGCTGACATTTCGGAAGCGTAGCCTTTAGGAAGTGATATTGTAGGAGTTTAATGGGTTGAGTTGGTTACCTCAGGGTCTGTTACTGTGTGGTGGGCCTCACCTGCATTCTGTATCCACTTGGGTACTGACTAGAAATACAGATTTTAATGCCTACCCCAGACCCACAAAGTCCATCTTTTTGAGACTGATGCCCTAAAATCCATATTTTCAATCCCTTTGGTTATTCATCATTCTTACTAATTATTAGTGCATTTTACACCAGCATTTCCCAGTACAGTTTCATCACAGCGCATAAAATCACTTTTCTCACTAGAGATATTACAATAAGTGAGATAAAACAAAACAGCAAGGTAAAACAAAAACAAATATAGAGCTCTGGTTCCTTTATTCATGAGCTTGGTACTTACTCATACAGAGGAGAACAGTGTTGCTAGTAGAAAAGGTTGTGTGCAGTCTGGCACAGATTATTTTACCAGGAAAAAGGTAACCACCAGTATGACAGTAAAACCCCACCTTTTTAGTTAAGGGACGTTGTTAGTAGTGAATGAGAAGGGAGGAAGCTTGGTGCCCTCTGTAAGCTAGGTACTCTTCCTACATTATTTCATGTAATCTTCACTGTAGCTCAGAGGATGGTACCCTCTTACTCCCACTCCATTGCTGAGGAATGTGCAGGTCAGAGGGCTGAAGGCCTTGTGTTTCCCAGGCTAAAGTGGGATTTGAACGGAAGGTTAGAGCAGCTTGTTCCAGGGGACACTGCAGCCACAAAACTCAGAATATGTTAGAAATGTTCTCAGAGCTAAACAGAGTGCTGTTGGCGGGTATATTTCAGGAATACCATGGTGCAGGTGGTAGAACTGGAGAGGTGCTGTTCTCACTCTAATCATTTGCATTTGGCCTTGTAAACTAATGGTGCAATAAACTAAACTTGCTTCTGTCCTTTTGTGTATGACACTGTGGCCTTTACAAAGTTCTTGCATGACTGGATCAAGAGGTTATGCAGACAGATCCTAGAACTAGGGACATGGCATGCATTAGTTGTTCCATGCATGCTGGCCTCCCCCATGCCTCTTCTTTCACCTTTTATTTTTAAGGTGACAGTCATCAGAAATCTTCTGATTCTTCTACCTAAGTTCTGTTAGCTTTGATATTTCAAATCCAGGCCCATACTCTTTTCCATGGGTCCTACGCCCTTCTTATCGGCTCCTGCGTAATTTCGAGGCCCCATCTCCTTTAGTCCCTTTCCCATAGTGCCTTCCTCTGCTGAACTAGTTGGGGGTGGGGTTCAGACCTGAATGACTGAAGATCTGTGTCCTATTCTGAGCAAATGTTTCACAGGTTAATATCGACTCTTTCCTTCCGAAGGATTTTATTGTCTCCAACACTGAACAAAGTTAAGAGAAATTCTTTTTATATCTCTAATCCAGAACTTGCTTAGATCAAGGTACTGAGTCCATCCAAATGAACATAATAGTCCTTTGACTTGTGGTTGTGGGATGTTGCCACAACATTCTCCAAAGGAGAATCTGTTTGGATTTTCTTAGCAGGTGTCTTTATAGCAAATCATGTCCCTACTAAATTCATATGTGGAAGTCCTAATCTTTAGTTTCTGAAAACATGACCTTATTTGGAGATAGGATTTTATAGAGGTTATCAAGATAAAATGAAGTCATTAGGAGAGGAAATGCGGACAGATATAATACGGGCAGAGGGAGAACGCTCACCGACACGAAACAGGGATCAGGACGATGGTCTCCAAGCCAACAAATGCCAGACTGGCAGCAGGCCACAGACTCTAGGAGAAAGGAATGGAGCAGCCTCCTTCACAGGCCTTAGAAGGAACCGGCCTTCCTAACACCTTGATTTTGAAGAGGATAGAAGCCTCTGGACCTGGGAGACAAAAAAATTTCTGTATTTAAGGCCCTGAGTTTGTGGCACTTGGTTACAGCAGTACCGGGAAACTTAACAGTGTTGAAGAGGAAGGACTCCCAGCAAAGCAGCATCCTGACGGCCTTTTGAATGGATGGCTCAGCACCATTCACGTAAATCACCTTCCTTATTGAAGTTACTTATATTATTACCAATGATTATTGTTGTTGTTGTTGTTATTATTATTATTATTTCTCCTCATCGTTTTTTATAGTAGTAGCCTAAGCTTTCATTAACTTATAAGAAAAAAAACACCCCTTTTTTATGCCTTAATAGGAAGCATTCTTTGGTGTCTTCTTATTACCTTACCATAGACCCTGATTTTGAAGGTCTGTGT